GGTAGTGGGGTAGAGAGGTAGTGGGGTAGTGGGTGTAGAGAGGTGGTGGGGTAGAGAGGTAGTAGGGTAGTGAGGTAAAGAGGTAGTGGGGTAGAGAGGTAGTGGGGTAGTTGGGTAGAAAGGTAGTGGGGTAGTGAGGTAGAGAGGTAATGGAGTAGTGAGGCATAGGAAGCAATTCCAAAGATTGGGGCTGAGGCACTGAAGGCGTGGTCACCAACAATGGAGCAATTAAAATGGTGAAGCACACAAGGCCAGAGATGGGGGAACATGGATGACTCAGAGACTTGTTGGACTGAAGGTGGGGGGGTGGGAGGGGAAGGGCAACACCTCAGAGGGATTTGGAAGCAAGTGTGAGAATTGAGGCACCGTTTGACCAGGACCCACTGTTGGTCAGTAAGCACTGATACAGATCCTTCAGTCCAACTCATCCATGCAATCAGGTTTCTGAAAGTGAATTAGTCCCATTTGCCTGTGTTTGGCTCTATCCCTCTAAACCCTTCCTATTCATGTACCCATCCAGATGACTTTTAAATGTTGTAATTGTACCAGCCTCCACCACCTCCTCTGGCAGCTCATTCCATACATGCACCACCCTCTATCTGAAAAACATTGTCCCTCAGGTCCTTTTTAAATCTTTCCCCTCTCACCTTAAAGCTAACCCCTCTAGTTTAGGACTTCCCCACCCTTGGAAAAAGACCTGACTATTCCCCCTGTCCATGCCCCTCATGATTTTATAAGCCTCCATAAGGTCACCCTTCAGCATCTGACACTCTGGGGTAAAAAAGAGCCCCAACCTATTCAGCCTCTCCTTATGGTTCAAAGCCTCCATACTCGGCAACATCCTGGTTTATTTTTTTCTATACCCTTTCTGGTTTAACAACATCCTTCACAACAGACTTTTGGCCAAACTCAAATTTAGAAACCAAAAAGCAAATAACTTACCAAATGGACTCTGTTCTTCAACACTCCCTTGAAAGACTTGTTTTGTAAAAACTGGAGGATTATCATTGATGTCTAAAACTTTAACGCTGAGTTCTATTGGCTTCTCTCTTGGCTTTCGATTTTGATCATAGGCCTGGCCTGTAAGCTGAAAATATTAAAGGGAGATTCACCAAAGACACTTCTCTGATGTTGTAGAAACTTAGTAGAAACCACAATCACAATCTCAAAATAATTTTATAAAATATCATGAAAGATGTTTGTAATCTCCAGTAAAGATTTTCCTTCCCCATTTATATAGTTATCTCATTGTCCTATCCAAGTTCTTGCACTTACCATCTGTCTCCTATCCGAATACACATACATGTCACTGACCCTGGGACCTGCGATAGACTTTGGGTTAGAGTTAGGACCTTTTTGATTATTTATTCATGGGAAGTGCTTGTCGCTTTCTAGGCCAGCAAGTATTGCCCATCCCTCATTGCCCAGAGGGCAGTTAAGAGTCAACCCCGTTGTTGTGAGTCTGGAGTCACATGTAGGCCAGACCAGGTAAGGATGGCAGATTCCTTCCCTAAAGGACATTAGTGAACCAGCCTGGCATTTATCACCCATCCTCTAATTGCTTAGCAGTTAAAGGTTAACGTTTTGGGAAGGCAAAACTTCCAAAAATTTGGCAAGGTGAAAGCCACTCGGTTTCATCTCCTGGATGCCCATTCGGCCCATCAAGTCTGCTCTGCCATTTAAGCAGATCATGGCTCATCCGATAACCCTCAACTCTACTTTCCTGTCTTTTCCCCATAACCACCTACTCTGATAAAAAAAAATCTGTTTACCTCAGTCTGCAAGTAACCAATTGCCCAGATTGTATATTATCAGAATAGCACAGTGCAGAAGAAGGCTATTCAGCCCTGTAAAGTCTATGCCTGCCCTTTTGAAGAGAAATCTGGTAGAGACACTGCCCGTTCTTTCACTCCTTTTCCCTGCAATATTTTCTCCTTATGGTATTTTTCAATTTTGATAGTGACCTTTGAATGTGCTTTCACCATCCGTGTATAAAAATGTTCTTTTAACAGTCAGCACCCTTTGGTTACCAAGACCTCAGTCATTGGAAGAGTTTGCCTTTGCTGTGGTTGGTTCGCTTGCTGAGCTGGTTCATTATTTTGCAGGCGTTTCATTACCCTGCTGGGTAACATCATCAGTGCAGCCTCCGACGAAGCAAACCAACCACAGCATCCACAACCTGAGCTACAAATCTACTCAAGAATATTAGTTTGTCTTTACTTACCCCCATTTCACCCCTTCCTGATCCTGAACATCTCGATTAAATCTCCTTTTAATCTGCGCAGCTCCAAGGACTATAAATTCTCCAATGTCTCCACCTAATTACAGTTCCTCAACCTGAAACCACCTGCAAATTTCTCAAGGACATTCAACAAAGCTTTCAAATCCTCCCAAAATGTGTTGCTTTGGTCCATCTCTTTTCCTAACTTTAACAGCCTTTTCAAAGATGATCTCCCCAAGCACGAATTTTAGTCATTTTCCTTAATAGTTCTCCTTAGCACTTGGTTGTTGACTCTTTTAAAGGCTTTGGGGCATTCATTATATTAAGTTAGAAGCCACACAACACCAGGTTACAGCTCAACAAGTTTATTTGCAATCACAAGCTTTTGGAGCACTGCTCCTTCATCAGGTCGTGTAACTTCTGACTTTATCCATCCCAATCCAACACCGTCACCTCCACATCACTCATTATATTACGGCATCTCAGATATGACTTTATAGTTGCTATTGAGAGTCAAAATCATAGAAACATAGAAGATAGGAGCATGAGTAGGCCATTCAGCCCTTCAAGCCTTCTCCCCCATTCAATATGATAATGGCTGATCATCCAACTCAGTCCCCTGTTCCCATTTTCTCCCCATACCCTTTGATTCTTTCGGCTCTAAGAACTGAATCTAACACTTTCTTGAAATCATTCGATGTTTTGACTTCAACTGCTTTTTGCGACAGAGAATTTCACAGGTTCCCCTCTCTCTGGGTGAAGACGTTTCTCCTCATCTCAGTCCTAAATGACCTACTCCTTATTCCCGCTTCCTTGACCTGGCACAACCTGTCCATCTTCTTTCCCACCTATCTGCCCCATCCTTCCTACTGACCAACCTCCACTACCCCCTACCTGCATCCACCTATCACCATCCCACCTACCTTCTACCCCATCCTCTTCCTCTATTTATTTCCCAGCTCCCTTCCCCCTCCCCAGTCCTGAGGAAAGGTGTAAACCCGAAACGTCAGCTTTCCTGTTCCTCTGATGCTGCCTGGCCTGCTGTGTTCCTCCAGCTCCACATTGCGTTGACTGACTCTAGGTCTTGCTATCTCTGAGTGACTGTGACCCCCTGGTCCTTGACTCCCCTCGGTCAAAAGGAACATCCTTCCTTTATTTACCTAGCCTAGTCCCATTAGAAATGTTATCGGTTTCTGGGAGATCCCCCCAACCCCCAATTCCTCTAAACTTCTGTGTCTGTAGATAAACTAGCCTTCTTAGTCAGAACACATGAAAGAATGCAACAAAGAACACCTGTACTTCCTCAGGAGGCTAAGTAAATTCGGCATGTCCATAACGAATCTTACCAACTCTTATAGATACACTATAGAAAGTATTCTATCTGGGTGCATCACAACTTAATTTGGCAACTTGGTCTGCCCAGGACTGTAAGAAACTACAGGGAGTTGTGAATACAACCCAGTCCATCACACAAGCCAACCTTCCATCCAATGACTCCATCTATGCTTCTCGCTGTCTTGGGAATGCAGCCAACATCATCAAAGACCCCTCCCACCCCAGTTATAATCTCTTCCAACCTCTACAAAAGCTTAAACACACATACCAACAGATTCAAGAACAGCTTCTTCCCTGCTGTTACTAGACTTCTGAATGGACATCTCAAATTTCAAATCTAATGTTGATCTCGTTCTTTGTGCACCTTCTATGCAACCATAACATTGTATTCCTCGCTCTGTTCTTTAACCCTCATGCACTTTGTATGGTATGATCTGCCTGTACTGCACGCAAAACAAAACTTTTCACTGTACCTAGGTATGTGTGACAATAATAAATCAAATCAAAACACAATGGGGAATGTTTGTGAATGGGACATTTAAATCAATATTAATTGGATTAAATAGTCAATCAACAAGAATTGTAAACGTACAAGGAACAATGGGCAGCATAGTGGCTCAGTGGTTAGCATTGCTGTCTTGCACTGCCAGGAACCTGGGTTCGATTCTAGTCTGGGGCAGCTGCCTGTGTGGAGTTTGCATGTACTCCCCGTGTCTGATTGGGTTTCCTCCCGATGTGCAGGTTAAGTGGATTGGCCATGGGAAATGCAGGGTTACAGGGATAGGGTAAGAAGTCTGTACGGGATGCTCTCCAGAGGGTTGGCATGGGCAAGTTGGGTGGCATGGCCTGTTTCCACACTGTAGGGGTTCTAAATTGACTAGAGTTTAATTCTGATGCACAGACACTTCTCTCAATACTCACAGCATTTGAAGGATTTGGAACCTCAATAGAGTTTTGACAAGTTTTCTTCCAATATAGAGAATCACTTGCAACTTACTTTGAAAACTGCATTTACTTCGCGGTCCACCTCTCCGGTAATATTTAATTCACCGGTTTGAGGATCGATTATAAACAGATTGATAGGTGGCTCGGTAGCTCCTTTGCCAGTGATGCGGTAGGTTATTATAACACCTGGTTCATCCTCAGCATCTGATCGAATCTAGAGACGGTGGGGAGGTGGAGGGAGAGAAAAAGGATAGTTAACACATAACACGCATTAAGGTAGATAAATCCCCAGGACCTGATCAACTGTATCCCAGGACATTGTGGGAAGCTAGGGAAGAAATTGTGGGGCCCCTAGCAGAGATATTTGTATCCTCGATAGCCATAGAGTGAGATGCTGGAAGACTGGAGGGTAGCTAATGTGGTGCCATTATTTAAGAATGACTGCAAGGAAAAGCCAAGGAACTGTAGACTGGTGAGCCTAACGTCAGTGGTGGGCAAGTTATAAAGTCATAGAGTCATATAGTCATACAGCACAGAAACAGACCCTTCGGTCCAATTTGTCCATGCCAACCAAGTTTCTCAAACTAAACTAGTCCTATTTGTTTGCATTTGGCTCATATCCCTCTAAAACTTTCCTATTCATGGCCCAATGTCTTTTAAACGATATAAAAGTACCTCCATCTACCATTTCCTGCGGCAGTTCATTCGCATATATGAACCACATATGTGTGAAAAAGTTGCTCCTCGGATCCCTTTTAAATCTTTCTCCTCACACCTTAAATCTATACCCTCTAGTTTTGAACTCCCCCAACATTGGGAAAAGACCTTTACCATTCAATTTATCTATGCCTGTCATGATTTTATAACGTCATCCCTCAATGTCCTACACTCCAGTGAAAAATGTCCCAGCTTTCTCAGCTTTTCCAGCCTCTCCTTAGAACTCAAACCCTCCATTTTTCTGCACCCTCTCCAATTTCATAATATCCTACTTGTGGCAGGGTGACCACAATTATACAAACTCTGAGAGACAGGATCTACCTGCATTGGAAAGGGTAGGACTGATTAGGGATAGTCAGCATGGCTTTAGACATGGGAAATCGTGTCTCACAAACCTGATTGAGTTTTTTGAAGAGGTGACTAAGAAGATGGATGAAGACATAGTGGGCGATGTTGTCTACATGGACTTAAGCAAGGCCTTTGACAAGGTTCTGCATGGTAGATTGGTTTATAAGGTTAGATCACAAGATCCAGGGAGAGCCATCAATTGGATACAAAATTGGCTTGGCAGTAGGAGACAGAGGGTGATGGTAGAGGGTCATTGTTCAGCCTGTCAACAATGGTTTGCTGCAAGGCTTGTGTGTGGAGTCCACTGTCGTTTGCCATTTATATAAATGATTTGGATGTGAATATAGGAGATATGGTTAGTAAGTTTGCAGATGACTCCATGATTGGAGGTGTGGTGGACAGTAAAGAAGGTTACCTCAGAGTAGAATGGGATTTTTATCAACTGGGCCAAATGGGCTGAGGAGTGGCAGATGGAGTTTAATTTAGATAAATGTGATGTGTTGCATTTTGGTAAGGCAAACCAGGGTAGGACTTACACAATTTATGGTAGGGTCCTGGGGAGTGTTGTTGAACAGAGACCTTGGGGTGCAGGTGCCTAGTTCCTTGAAAGTGGCATCACAGTAGATAGGATAGTGAAGAAGGTGTTTGGCATGCTTGCTTTTATTTGAGTATAGGAGTTGGGACGTCATCTTATGGTTGTAAAAGACATTGGTGAGGCCACATTTAGAGTACTGCATACAATTCTGGTCACTCTGCTATATAAAAAGGATGTTATTAAACTGGAAAGGGTGCAAAAAAAATTCACTAAAATGTTCCCAAGTTATAAGGGGAGGCTGCATAGGCTGGGACTTTTTTCACTGGAGCACAGGAGGCAGAGGGTTGACTTTATAGAGGTTTATAAAATCATGAGGGGTATCGATAGGGTGAACAGCCAAGGTCTTTTTCCAAGGGTAGGAGAGTCCAAAACTTGAGGAATGGGTTTAAGGTGAGAGGAGGAAAATATAAAACGGACCTGAGGGGTGACTTTTCTCACAGAGGGTGGTGTGTGTATGGATCGAGCTGCCAGAGGAAGTGGTAGCAGCTGGTAATGTTATGACATTTAAAAGGCCTTTGGACAAGTACATGGATAGGAAAGGTTTAGAGGGATGGATGAGTTGGGCAGAGCAATCTGTTTTTGTGCTGAATGACTCTATGACACAAAGTTTATCTCCTGTATGCAAGTTTACAAATTCCAAAAGCATTGTCAGAACATGCTTGAAAGCTAAGGAGTGTCAAATTCCTCCTTCAAAGATTTCGAAACAAAAACCCTGAGATCTCTCTGATCTTCTAATTGCATCACCTACTTTATGCAGAGTCTACTCATCCATTATTGCACTAAGGTGATCTGATTGGATGATGGAGAAGGATCAAAGGACTGAAAGGCCTGCTCCTATTTCCTACGTTTCTCCAAACATATGGCAAAAACAATAGTCTCCTGTGGGGACATCACAGTCTACTTCCCTTCAGACTGAAAAATAACTATCCACTGTTCCTCTCTGCCTTCTGTCTCACGGCCAGAAAACCCTTTCGGAAGGTGAATTTCTGAGGTAGAGTGGGTATGAGAAAGAGGGAGACTACATTCAAGGGGAAGTGACAGATGTGGCTTTAGGAGGGACTATTTTTCTGTGTTACTGAAGCTCAGGTAACAATGACAAGACAATATTTAACAATCGTCACGAACTGTCAGTGATGTGATCCAGAGACCTGAGCCTGACCACTTCAGGATAGCGGCATCCTTTTCTCCTTCTCCCTCTCTTTCATCTTTTTTCTTTTTCTTTCCTTTCTTCATCTTTGAGGCCAGAGTGGTGTTGGTGGGGTGGCGGCTGCAGTGTCATTGGCATGGATCAGGACTCCTGGAAGCGGCAGCTGTAGGCCCAGAGTCTGGGCTGTTGATGGTGACAGTACACAGTATGGTGGATCCAGGTGATGGTAGGCCCAGAGCCTGGGCTCTTGACGGTGGTGGTGCCCACAGCAGTGACTCCAGGCAGTGGTAGGCCTGGAGCCTGGATTCTTGGCTGTGGTGGCACCTGGGGCTGGGGCTCCTCAGCATCATTGTTGCTGTACCCAGAGTGGGAACTCCTTGAGGCCTGGAACACCTTGCAGAGACTTTGCAGAAACCCTGGAGCCATGCTTGAGACCCAACTTGAACAGAAGATGAACTCAATTTAAGTAACAACCGAAAGAACTGCGGACGCTGTAAATCAGGAACAAAAACAGAAGTTGCTGGAAAAGCTCTGCAGGTCTGGCAGTATCTGTGTAGAGGAAAACAGAGTTAACGTTTCGGGTCTGGCATCCGTTCCGCAGAACAGGACCTGAAACATTAACCCTGTATTTTTCTTCACAGATGCTGCTGGACCTGCTGAGCCTTTCCATCAACTTCTGTTTTTGTTCCTGATTTAAAGCGTCCACAGTTCTTTTGGTTTTTATTCAGAAGTTCAGCAATGATTGTTCAGCGCCATTCGCGACTCTTCAGACACTGAAGCAGTCCGTGTCCAAATGCAGAAAGACGTGGACAATATCCAGGTTTAGCTGATGACTGGCAAGTAACATTCACGCCACACAAATGCCAGGCAGTGACCAACTCTATTAGGAGGCAACCTAGCCACAGCTTTTTGAACGGCTTTACTATCATTGAATCCTCAACCATCAACACCTTGAGGGTTACCACTGACCCGAAACTGAAGAGGACTATCACATAATTACTGCGACTACAAGAGCAGGACAAAGATTAGGAATACTGAGGTGAGTGACTCACTTCCACTTCCAAGGCACAAATCAGGAGTGTGATGGAATACTCCCCACTTGCCTGGATGGGTGCAGCTCCAACAACATTCAAGAAGCTCGACACCATCCAGGACAAAGCAACTCGCTTGATTGGCATCACATTGCACACACTCCGTTTATCACCGACGCTCAGTAGCAGCAGCGTGTACCATCTACAAGATGTACTGTAGAAATTCACCAAAGATCCTCAGGCAGCATCTTCCAAACCCACGACCACTTCCATCTAGAAGGACAAGGGCAGCAGATACATGGGAACACCACCCCCTTCAAATTCCCCTCCAATCCACTCACCATCCTGACTTGAAAATGTATCACCATTCCTTCACTGTTGCTGGGTCAAAATCCTGGAATTCCCTCCCTAATAGCATTGTGGGTCAACCTACAGCACATGGACTGCAGCGGTTCAAGAAGGCAGCTCACCACCACCTTCTCAAGGGGCAACTAGGGACGGGCAATAAGAGCAGGTTTGGCCAGTGTTGCCCACATCCTATGATTGAATAGGAAAAACGATCAGGTTTGCTTACAACAGCAATTGGGTTAAGGTGCTTCAAAGGCTCATGCTCACGGACATCCAGTGGTGGAATGACCCATTCTCTCTTCAGCCATCTGGAGCTCCTTTCCTTTGGAAAACGGATAACTTTAAGTGCCCTCTCTACAAGCTGTGAAAACAAATTGGAAACAGCTGTAACTTTTTAAAAACTCAAGCTCATGAAAAGATACAAACCATCTGGATAATCACAGCCACAGATTCAAATGTTGCATTATTCTTAACTCCCAAAAAGGTCATGCCACTTTCCCAGCACAACCAAAACAGGCAAAGAGATCTGGGAGCTGTCGTATCTGTTGGTGTATTATTTCTCCAGCATTGCTTGTGGGCCTAGAAGAACAGGAATGTGTTCTTCCATTGGCCAGCTAACTAGGCTAAACCTGGCGTGCTCTGCTTAGATTCCCATTATCTTTAGAGCACCAAAACAACCCCCACTCTGCTCCACCAGTCTCAGCCCATGCCCTACTTCAGTCCTCACACAATGTCTCATTAGCTCCCATCTCACAGAACCACAGAAAAGATATGGCACAGTAACAGGCCATTGTGGATATGCTTCATTCTCACCCCCAGCAAACCCATGACCTCCCTTCACCATCCCTCTCCACAATGTTCTCTCCCTCACTCTGGCCACAGGTAGAATTTCCTGTTTGGGAACCCCTACCTTTCTTGTTGGCAATCTACCCTTGTTTAGCCAACCCCCATCACCCACAACTTAACCCCATTCAACCTCTCCTCTTCACCAGTGAGATCCCCGTTTTGCCCCTGGGGCATTCCTTTCCAAAACAGCCCACTATGAAACCGATGCCCAACCTCCTCTCAACCCATTTCCCAATCAATCCTTGATCTCCAATTCCAGGGACGTTGGCTATCCCTTCTGACTGTGGTACGGACCCTTGCTCAGCAACCAGCCTCACTCTCTGGTGGGAAGTAGAATAAATAAATTCCAATAAATGCCATCCATTAATCTCACAGCACATGCACCTCTCCATATTCCTTGACCAATGGCGGTTTCCTTCCCTTCCTCTCACTTGACTATATAATCTGAGCATAGAGCACCATCTCACCTCAGTATTTTTCAAAGGGCTGAGCTGAATGTCCACTCTCCAAGTTTCACAAGTTTCCAAGTCATCCGCCAAAACACTGAACTTAAGTTTCGAACCAATGGTTAGGGTCCGAGATGCATGTACAACTCCAGCAGCATCCACTTCAAACCTGCTGTCGCTGGTTCTAAACTGGACATTATTCTCCGAGGCACAGTCATGGAATTGCGCTGGATTTTGGGCAAAAAAAAAGATCTGGAGTTAGACTCTTGAAGGAGAGAGGTAAGACATTGCAGATGGTGGAAATCCGAAAGAGAAACTGAAAATGGTAGCAATACTCAGCAGGTCAGGTAGGTTCTGTGGAGAAAGAGAGAAAGAGGGAGTGTTGGGAGAGAATATAGAGTAAAGAGAGAGAGTGAATAGAGACTGAAGAGAGGATGTTGCCAGGTATGGGAGGTTTGAGTTCGAAAGAAAGGCTGGATAGGCTGGGACTCTTTTTTACTGGAGGGTAGGAGGTTCAGAGGTTACCTTAGAGAGGTTTCTAAAAATCATGAGGGGTATAGATTGGGTTAATGGCAGGTATCTTTTCCCTAGAGTGGGGGAGTTTAAGACTGGGGGGAGGCATATTTTTAAGATGAGAGGAGAGACAGTTAAAAAAGACATGAGGGGCAATATTTTTTACACAGTTGGTGGTTTGCGTGTGGAACGAACTTCCTGAGGAAGTGATGAATATGGGCACAGTTACAATGTTTAAAAAATCCTTGGATATGTACATGAATAGGAAAGGTTTAGAGGGATATGAGCCAGGAGCAGGCAGATGGGATTAGTTTAGTTTGGGATCATGTTTGGCATGGACTAGTTGGACCAAAGGGTCTGTTTCTGCACTGTATGATGCTGTGACTCTATGAGAGGGACAGCATATATATATAGTATAAGAGAGAGAGAGAGAGAGAGAAAGAGGGAGAGAGATTCACCAGCATTTGTTTCACATTTTCAGCATCCATAGCATTTTGCCTTTATTGCTATGGGTCTAGAGTCACATGTAGGCAGACCAGGTAAAGATTTCCTTCCCTAAAGGGTGTATGGGACTGCTGTGTTGATGATACCAGGTGGGTTTTTCTCTTTTACAAAATCAACATTTTGTAATTAGGCATGCATTTTTAAAAAATTTAAAATGTTATTGGATGCAAATTTCTCACTCATCAGGACACATTCGCAAGAATGCCAAACCTTAACAAGAACACCAGCTTATACTGAATGAGATAGGGGTGCTGACTGGTTAGCAAGTGGGCACTGATTAATGTAGGTGTAGTCAAGGAGAACGTACAAGGGAACTGCTGAAGTTTTTTTTTCCCAATTCACACCAAGGATACAGATCTCCCCAAATAAGCCTTCAAACAACTTTAAGGGTAGATGATATTGCTACCACTGAGAGGGAGGGAATGGTAAAATGAATTGCAAATCAAGTACAGTTGGCTGGCACTCACCTATAAGTATAATGTCCCCTTCAGAAACATATGAATCAACCAGTGCCTCAATTTTATGTTTGGAAAATCCTCTTTTGCAAAAACATTGTCCAACTTCGCAATAATTCTAGAAAAAAAATGACATTTGTAAGAACTTTTTTTGCTTTATAAGGTGTTATTTAGTAAATAGAAGTGTTTGGATCTATCACTCTTCTTTGCTTAATCTTTTGAACACTAGGCTCAACATCCAGATATAAATAACTTTTTAAATCAAGAGGTGTTGACATTTAATTCTCTGATGATTTTATTCTGATACAGCCTTCTCTAAATCTTGCTGTACATAAAATGAAATTTGCCATATATAAATAAATCGAGGCTTCAAATTACACCTTTCAATGACCTTGCCCCCATTATGTTTGTGAATGATTGCACAATGTTCAGCACCATTTGTGACTCCTCAGATACTGAAGCAGTCTGTGTTCAAATGAAACAAGATCTGGATAATATCCAGGCTTGGCTGACAAGTGGCAAGTAACATTCACGCCACACAAATGCCACGCAATGGCCAACTCTAACAAGACAGAATCAACCCATTGGATCTTGACATTCAATAGCATTCCCATCACTGAATCCCCCAAAATCAGCATCCAGAAACTGAATTAAATCCAGCCATGTAAGTACTGTGGCTATAAACACAGCACAGAGATTGGGAATTCTGCAACATATAACTCACTTCTTGATCCCCAAAGCTAACCCACTATTCTCGATCCAAACAGCTCTGTGGCTAGACTTATTCCACACAGACGGCCAATGTTAGAGGAAGTCCCTCATCATTAGCATTGCAAGGGCAACAGGGCTCTGCACTGTCGGAGGGTCAGTGCTGAGGGAGCGCCGCACTGTCGGAAGATCAGTGCTGAGGGAGCGCCGCACTGTCGGAAGATCAGTGCTGAGGGAGCGCCGCACTGTCGGAAGATCAGTGCTGAGGGAGCGCCGCACTGTCTGAGGTTCAGTGCTGAGGGAGCGCCGCACTGTCTGAGGGTCAGGGCTGAGGGAGCGCCGCACTGTCGGAGGGTCAGTGCTGAGGGAGCGCTGCACTATTGGAGGGTCAGTGCTGAGGGAGCGCTGCACTATTGGAGGGTCAGTGCTGAGGGAGCGCTGCACTGTCGGAGGGTCAGTGCTGAGGGAGCGCTGCACTGTCGGAGGGTCAGTGATGAGGGGGCATGGGACTGCTGTGTTGATGATATGTCAACAGGAACTACACTTCAAAAATATTTAATTTTTCATAAAGTGCTCTGGAACATTCTGGTAGTAAATTGCAAGATAGAAGGCAAGCTTAAGTAATAGGCTCCAAAAAGGCTTAAAGAAAGTAAAAGGAAAAGGTCTATTTAGAGAAAAAATAGTAGGGAAACTAATGGAGCTAGAGGTGGCAAAATCCCCTGGACCTGATGAGATGCATTCAAGGGTATTAAAGGAAGGTGGCTTAGAGTTAAGGTTAGAGTTAGGATTAAAGAATTAGTGCTCGTGTAGAGTTAGTGTAAAGAAGGATTGGATTCAGTGATAGAGGAGAAAACAGATTCTGGAAAAGTCTCCAAGGATTGGAAAACTTCCAAATGAACACAGTTCCTTAAAAAAGGAAGGTAACAGACAACAGGTTAATGGAGGCCATTCAGCTTAACACTTGTAATTGGGAAATTGTTACTGCCTTTATAAAGGATGTACACACAACATAATTAAACAGAGTCAGCATAGCTTCATGAAGGCCAATTCACATCTGACAGATTTTTTAGGGGGAGTTTATAATGGGGAACAAAAAAATAGTAGACAAACTAAGTTCATACTTTGCATCTGTCTTCACAAAGACAGCATGAATAATTTGCCAGAAATGATGGGGAACATAGGGTTTAGTGAGTGGGAGGAACTGGAGCAAATCCGTATTAGTAGTGAAATTATGTTGGAGAAATTGATGGGATTAAGGCAGATAAATCACCAGGGTCTCACTATCTACATCCCAGAGTGCTTAAGGTAGTGGTCCAAGAAATATGGATGTATTGCTGGTCATCTCCCAAGATTATTTAGCCTCTGGCACAGTCCCCACAGATTGGAGAGTAGCAAATATAAGGGAGGTAGAGAATTATAGACAAGCGATTCTGCCATCATTGGTGGGAAGATACAAGAATGAATTAGCAAGGATTTTATAGCAGGGCGCTTAGAAACCGTGGTAGAGTCCGACAGGCAGCATGGATTTACAAAAGGGAAATCATGCTTGACAAATCGGCTGGAATTTTTGAAGGATGTAACTAGTAGAGTACATCGGGGGACCCAGCAGGTATGGTTTACTTGAACTTTCAGAGAGCTTTCAACAGAGACCCACATTAAAGACTAATGTGTAACATTAAAGCACATGGGATTAGGGATAGTGTGTTGAGATAGATAGAAACAGACAGGAAACAAAATAGGAATTGCAGAGCCTTTTTCTGAATAGCAGGCAGTACTGGTGGAGTACCAGGGTACCAGGTACTAGGACCCCAGCTATTCACAACATATGCTAATGATTTAGATGAGGGAACTGAGTGTAATATCTTAAAATTTGCAGATGACACAAAGTTGGGTGGAAGGGTGAGTTGTGAAGAAGATGCAGAGATGCTTTAGTGTGATTTGGACAGGCTGAGTGAGCGGGCAAATGAATGGCAGGTGCACTATAATGTGGATAAATATCAGGTTATCCACTTTGGCAGCAAAAACAGGAAGGCAGGTTATCATTGGAATGGCTGTAAATTGCAAGGGGCGGGATGGGAATGTTCATTGAGACCTGGGCGTCCTGTGCCCCAGTCGCTCAAAGTAAGCATGCAGTTACAACAGGCAGTAAAGAAGGTAAACAGTACAGGAACAAGGATGTCTTGTTGCAATTATACAGGGCCTTGGTGAAGCCACACTTGGAATATTGTGTGCACTTCCTCCTTATCTGAGGAACGATATTCTTGAGGGAGTGCGGATGGAGTGCAGTGAAAGTTTACCACATTGACTCCTGGGATGGCAGTACTGTGTGTCTGAGGACAGATTGAGTCAGCTAGGGTTGTATTCGCTAGAGCTGAGATGGGAACGGTAGAAACCTACAAAATTCTAACAGAACTAGACAGGTTAGATGCAGGAAGGATGTTCCTGATGACTGGGGGAGTCCAGAACCAGGGGCTGTAGTTTAAGGATAAGAGGTAAACCTTTTAGGACTGAGATAAGGAGAAGTGTCTACACCCACAGAGTGGTGAACCTGTGGGATTCATTCTCACAGAAAGTAGCTGAGGCCAAGACATGATGTGTTCTCAAGAAAGAGTTAGACAAATTTCCAAGTCAGAACAGTGAGTGTCTTGGAAAGGGACTTGCAGCTGGTGGTGTTCCCATGTATTTTCTGCCCTTGTCCTTCTTGATGGAAGTGGATTTGGAAGATGCTGAGTTAGGAGCTCTAGTGAATTTCTGCCATGCATTGTGTAGATGGTACACACTGCTGCTACTGAGTTTTGGAGGTGGAGGGAGTGGATGTCAGTGGATGTGGTGCCAACCAAGCCTGCTGCTTTGTCACAGAGTCGTACAGCGCGGAAACAGACCCTACGGTCCAACTCATCCATGCTGATCGAGAGTGTTGCTGGAGCTGCACCCATCCAGGCAAGTGGGGAGTATTCCATCACACTCCTGACTTGTGCCTTGTAGATGGTGGACAGGCTTTGGGGAGACAGGAGGTGAGTTACTCACTGCAGGATTCATAGTCTAAGACCCGCTCTTGTAGCTGTTGTGTTTGTGTGGCCAGTCCAATTCAGTCTCTCGTCAATGATAACCCCCAGAGTGTTGATAGTGGGGTTGAAAAGAGAATGCAGTGAGGAAATGTATGGTTACACACTTTGGCAGGAAAAGTATCGGAGCTGAATATTATTTAAATGGAAAAAGACTGCAGGAAGCAACAACACAGAGGGGTTTGGAAGTCCTTGTGCATGAATCACAAAAAAGTAGCATTCAGGTTTAGCAGGTCAGGGGGAAGGCAAATGAAATGTTGGCCTTGAATTCAATGGGAGTATAAAACTGGGGAGATTTTGCTGTTCAGATCACAGCTGGAATACTGTGAATAGCTGTGGGCCCCTTACTTAATGAACAATATTGTGCATTGGAACAAGTCCAGAGGAGGTTCACTTGGTTGATCCTGGATATGGAGGGATTGTCTTATGAGGAGAGATTGAGTAGGTTGGGCCTGTGCTCATTGGAGTTTAGAAGAACGAGAGGTGACCTTATTGAAACATACAAGATTCTTAGGGGCCTTGGCAGGGTAGATATGGAAAGGTTGTTTCCCCTTGTGGGAGAACTAGGGCCAGAGGGAATAATTGTAAATTTCCGATGGAGATAAGAAGGAATTTCTACTCTGAGAAAGTAGTAAATCTGTGGGATTCTTTACCCTGGAGGACTGTCGAGGCTGGGTCATTAAGTATATTCAGGGCTGAGATAGACAGATTTGTAATCAGGAAGGGGAATCGAGGGTTATGGTGATAGGGCAGGAGGTGATGATTGTCAGATCAGCAATGATCTCATTGAACGGCAGAGTAGACTTGATGGGCTGAATGGCTTGCTTCTGCTGCTGCTTGGTCTTATGGTTTTGTAAAAGGTATTTCACTATCTCAGGGCATCCTAAAGGGCTTTACAACCCATTAAATACTTGACCTAGAGTCATTGCTGTAATGTGCCCACAAGTTCCCACAATTGGAATCTGATTAGTGATCAAATACAGCCACATTTGGCAGGGCACTGAAGGGACCGTGTACTCTTTCCCAGATGCCTTGGGATTTTTTAGGTCAGGCTTGACTTTGTTGAACATCTCACTGGAAAGCTGGCTGCTCCGACAATCTCAGCACACTCTCGGTATTTGGCCCTACGGCCTCTGATGGTTACTACCTGAGTATTCTTCAGTACGGGTATGAGCAAGGATTGCAGAACTAACGGGAAATTAATATAACAAGCAGTTTATAGACCTGTCCTTCAGGATTGAGGTTTTACGAAGAAGAACCATTTCTTACACAAACAAGTATGCTTAGTTAAACATTACCTTTACAACGAGCCATCTCTGAATTATTGAATCTGACAGCTATTTAG